TACTCCTTATTCTTCCGTTCGTTGATCATTCGCAATTGACGTGCTCTCGATGAAATTCTGGTATATTGCCCAGAAATAATCTTTAACCTTTGCACTCACACGTAACGATGTGTCAGGAAGAAGGTTGACGTTTTACTTTTTTCGTTAGCTCGAACCAATTTTCATCTCACAAGAGTGATCAATTCATCAACGGATTTCGATCTTGTCCCCGAATCACACTATAATCGTATATATATACATTATTACTTATCAATTATTGGCAAAGAAACAGTATTTTTTCTATAGATTGAAATTAAATGTTGCACAGTGTGAAAATTTATAATTTTTATAATTAAAATATTCATCTTGAAAAGAATTATTTGTTTATAACTTCAATTTTTGTGTTAGAAACTAAAAATGATATTTGAAATTTATCGCGACAGATTTATTTTTAGAAGCTTATTTCCTATTGCTTTTATTTCGTTTAGAGAGACATTAATATTTTGGAAATCATTGTTTTTTCAGGCGATTCAAATTCCCAGGCCTGACAATATATATTCCATTCTCACACAAGCTTTAAAAGTCTGTCGCACTGAAATTTAAGAACAGCAAGTGGTCAACATCTTCATATATACGAGTCGGGTGTGTCTCCCCCAACGCATATATAAGTCACAAAAGCGATTTGTCTTCGACACTTCAAATCCCCGCACAAAAATATATACTGTATTTCGAGGAAACGACAAAAATTACTTTAAAAAATAAAAAAGAAACTAATTCTCAAATTCGGATTATTCTTTTCAAGAATAGAAGGAATTTAAAAAATAAAATAATAAATTATTTCCCCATCCGCTAAAAAAAATATAAAAAATAATTTAAATATGAATATAAAAAATTAATTTTTTACTATTTTCAAAGGTATAAGTATTTCTCAATATCAATAATTCAACGGTAATACGTTACAATTTAAAAAAAAAACATTTTTCAGTTTTAAATTTAAATTCTCTATTATATATTAATATTATTATAATTATATAATATATGATTTAAAAATTTTTTTGTTTTCTATCAATATTATCATCATCTTAGTTTTATATATTATAGGCTCCTGGTAATTTGATTCCTTTGCGCAATAATTGGTCCAAAGCGCGGTTAACTCTGCTTCGCGCACGAGAATTGAAAAACGATCACGAGTTCAGCGAACTGATTTCGACTCAACGGGTGTTCTCGAATCCACACCCCCCGTCAAGCGAAAAAAAAATAATTACTTATATGAAAAAAAAAGAAGAATCAGTTATTAAATATATGAAGTTAACGCACAAATAAATTGCATTTATACAACGCAAACAAACACACACTATATAAAAATATATGCGCACTTATATTTCTGTTGTTTTAAAATTATAATCGATTTATTTCAATATAACGGCAATAATAATCGATTTTTACAGTCGAATTGATATTTTTTTCTTTTAATATCGATATATTACGATAAGCATCTCGATTAATAACGACATATTTCGACTAATATCGATTTATTCGGTTTATATCGATATATTTCGATTTATATCAATATACCTCAATTAATAACCGACCTATTTTAACTATCAATTTATACGACTTAAATCGATATTTCTCGATTGATATCGAAACATTTGGGACTAATATCGATATTTTTCCACTAGTATCGATATATCTCGATTAATATCGATAGATGTCGACAAATATCGATTTATTCGACTTACATCGATATTCTTCTATGGATATCGATATTTCTTGATTAATATCGCGACACATTTCGATTAATATCGATTTACATCGATATGTTTGGTCAAATATCGATATTTTTCGATTACTATAGACACATTTTGACTAATATTGATATATTTCGATTATTAATATTGACTAACATTGATATTTTTCTACTAATATCAATATATATCGCGATTAATATCGATAGATGTCGACAAATATCGATTTATTCGACTTATATCGATATTCTTCTATATTGATATCGATATTTCTCGATTAATATCGACATATTTCGATTAATATCGATTTACATCGATATGTTTGGTCAAATATCGATATTTTTCGATTACTATAGACACATTTTGACTAATATAGATATATTTCGATTATTAATATTGACTAACATTGATATTTTTCTACTAATATCGATATATCTCGATTAATATCGATAGATGTCGACAAATATCGATTTATTCGACTTATATCGATATTCTTCTATATTGATATCGATATTTCTCGATTAATATCGACACATTTCGATTAATATCGATTTACATCGATATGTTTGGTCAAATATCGATATTTTTCGATTACTATAGACACATTTTGACTAATATAGATATATTTCGATTATTAATATTGACTAACATTGATATTTTTCTACTAATATCGATATATCTCGATTAATATCGATAGATGTCGACAAATATCGATTTATTCGACTTATATCGATATTCTTCTATATTGATATTGATATTTCTCGATTAATATCGACACATTTCGATTAATATCGATTTACATCGATATGTTTGGTCAAATATCGATATTTTTCGATTACTATAGACACATTTTGACTAATATAGATATATTTCGATTATTAATATTGACTAACATTGATATTTTTCTACTAATATCGATATATCTCGATTAATATCGATAGATGTCGACAAATATCGATTTATTCGACTTATATCGATATTCTTCTATATTGATATTTATATTTCTCGATTAATATCGACACATTTCGATTAATATCGATTTACATCGATATGTTTGGTCAAATATCGATATTTTTCGATTACTATAGACACATTTTGACTAATATAGATATATTTCGATTATTAATATTGACTAACATTGATATTTTTCTACTAATATCGATATATCTCGATTAATATCGATAGATGTCAACAATTAACAATTTATTCGATTTATATTGATATTCTTCTATTTATATCGGCTCATTTCGATTAATATCGATTTATATCGATATTTTTCGACAAACATTGACATATCTCTATTAATATCGATACACGTTGACTAATATCGATTTACTCGATTAATATCGATATATTTCGACTATAATTGCAATTAATTTATATCGTTGGATGTTGTATAATTTTTTTTATGTACGATTTATTTGAAATCCTGTAAATAAATGTTCTTTAATGTATAGCAAATGGAAATAATATAATTTAAAAAAAATAGGAAAAAAAATGATTTCCTTGTATTTTTTATGCGTTTCATCTAGATTTAGTGAAGTCAACTATTCGCGAGGCCCACCCCGTATATAATCGCATGGGAAAATAAATCTTGTGGACACTCACCGGGAGGGAGAATGGACATTGGACGCTGTCACCGGACACGGGTTGCAACGACTGCAACAGATCGCGTGCGTGAAAGAGAGGACGGCTATCAATGGTTGCATTATACAATACCCGTGCGCCGGTATGTATATGGTCAATATATATATACACACGGACAAGTGTACATTTGTATGTGGAATACAAACTCACTTCGTGTTGCACTACAACTTTCCACTCTTATATATCCCCTGAGCTACACGCATGTCTCTTACTCAGGTATGTGACTCTCGCGGTTCATCTCTCCCTTCTCTCTCTCTCTCTCTCTCTCTCTCTCTCTTTTTCACTCGCTGATTCCTTCTTTCCTTGACGACTGCTCTTGTGCTCCTTTTGCACTTGCGGAGAGGATAAGACAGGGTATTCCGTTTGAAGGACGTCACTTGCACTCGAGTATAGGGCTGCTGCTGTTGCAGCTTTCAACATATTTTATTTCCCTTCTCCTTTTTTTTTTTAATTAAAAGCCCCACAATTAAATAAAGTTTGTTTTCTGACATCGTATCATTATTAATAAATATCCGAATCAATAAATAAATCGAAAACTAATTGTAGATCTAAAAAAGGGAATTGAACTAATAAACAGTTACTTTTAACTAAATTTTCACTAGATTTCAAGTTTTATTTCAATAGTTTAATATTTCTTTCTTTAACTTTTCTATAATGTTAATCAAGGTAAAAGTAGTCTTAATGGAAAATGGAGAATAGCCGTATATCCTTCTGTTAAACGTTTCCTGTACCTTCTTCTATGGATATTGCGGATTCACGGAACAATTTGTTGGCGTGTAGTCAACGCTCTTATGTTACAAGTCAGGCTCTTGTCCTGCATTCGTTTGAAATGGACTGAGATCAATTTCCGGATGATCACGATACCTTCTCTATCTCCTCTCGTCTACCTTTCATTCCAACTTGAGAATTTATGGAAATTACGTTCCACACACTGAGGCTTTTAAACCTTTTTTTTTTTTTTATATTATATAATAAATTAATCTATTAGTCAGAAAAACACGTATTTGTCTTGGGGGAATTTTAAGTCGTATCTTATTTTTCATCTTTCATAAATGATTCATATTATTGTTTCTTTTTTTCTAAACAATAACTCAAATTTCTCAACTTTTTAAACTATTTATATTTTTACAAAATTATAATATTATATTAATAAATTAATTTTGTTATATTGACATATTTTTATAATATTGATATTATTAATATTATATAATTAATGCATAAATTTTATATAGAAAATATTAATATTTATATAATATCAATGAAGATAAATAATTCCAGTTTAAAAATAAAAAAAAAAAAAGAATAAAATAAAAAATTCATAAAATTAGTCAATTAGATGAAAAAAAAGATAAAAATTTCAAAAGAATGAATTCACATAGTAATGTAAAATATATGTATATAAGATATAAAATAGCAATAAATAATAATGAGATATGAACTATAAAAAAGTTTTAAAAAAATTTCTATTGTTGAGAAATATTTCAGTTTTTTTTTTTTTTCTTTTTTGTTTTGTATTATATGCGCGGGATTTAAAGATTTCAGTAAATTGAGTCAGAGATAAAGAAATGGTGAATGTAATAAATTGAAATAGAAACAGGTCTGTTGACCAGATGCTGCAACACTTACTGAGTTCGATTTTCCTTCCAGATTCTTTTTACGGTCGGTACGACCCCATCCAGCGTCGAACAATTAAGTCGAACATCAGGAAACAGTTTGTTCTAAAATAGAAAAAAAAAGAATTCTTTTTAGAAAGAAAAAAGAAGTTATAAAATGTGTCATTTTTTTTCTAAACTATTGAAATAATTATTCATATATTTGAAAAAATTAATAATAATAATAATAATAACTAAAAATTATTATTATTTTTTTTCAACACATTATTAATTAAACATTAAATTAATAATTTTGCAAACTAATTGAGTTAATTAATTAAACAAATTAAATTTGTTAATAAATCTAATTAATTTAACAAATTAACTTAATAAATCAATTAAAAAATAAATTTAAAAATTTATCACTTCAGTGTACTTTAAATAAAAAGATGAAATTATCAATTTTACTGAGGCAAAAAATAGAATAAATTCATTAAATTAATAGAAACCATTATAATTTAATGGGCTGATTTATTTTTAATTAATATTAAAAAATACAAATATACAATTAACATTTATTATGTTTATTCTATTAAAATGGAATTTCAAAGATTGAATATGGGAGTTATTTAAATTAAAAAAGAACAAAATAAAGAGAAATGTTTATCTGGATATTTTTTCTTTTCTCTTTTGAAGGGAAACGTTATGTTTAAAAACGTCTTAATTTATAGTCTGTTGTTTCGACCAGTCTGACGCAATGCCTTCTGTTCCATATCCCTCGACACTCGTTATCTTTCAGGTCCTCTTCTCTGTTTAAATCCGACAAAAAAAAAACTTGAAACTTTAAAACATCGCGTCGAGAAACAAAGATTCTTTTGGGTGCGAGAAATGCGCAGAGAGAGAGAGAGAGAGAGAGAGAAACAGAGAGGGAGGTTGGAAAACATTATAAACCCAAAGATTCTTGATCCCAGGGACGAGAAAGAAATGAGTGGAGAGAAAAAGAGGACGGGGAGAGAGTGACATAGTATCCACTCGTTTACTGGAATCCCGTGTGTCATCTAAATCAGGTTTCTCCTTCACTATGTATCCCGCCCCAAATATTATTCTTTGCTTTTTTCCCCCCCAAAAGAAAAGATCGTTTCTATACCTTATATTTGATCGTTTGAAATGAAAAATTTAATTTAATAAAATTCAGTTTCAGTTATCGTCAGTTATATTATAATATTTATTTGTCTTGGAATCAATTGATTCATACAAAGAAGTAACATATACATATTTAGCTGCTTAGTTTCAAGTAAAATTAAAATATATTGATTATTATAATTCAAAAATCATTTTGATAACAAAAGTTGTAGAATTTACCCGACTCTAGTTAAATTTGGAAAATTTTGAGGGGTCTTACGTCCATTTTGGTGCAAAATTCGCTGAGTTACAGAATTTTAAAGTTCAGAGTGCCAAAAACACCATTTCGAGAAAAACGAAATCAAAGATTGAAATTCAAATATCTGTGATTCTTCTGGGAAGTTATTCAGATGAGAGTTGTTTTAATTCAAGAACACCTTAAAGATGAAAAATCAATAGGTTTAGAATTCCCCCCCCCCCTCGATTTTCAAAATAATGCATAACCGACAAAGTGGTACCTATTCTAAAAATACGATTTTTAATTAATAAATCGATTTTTTTTTAAGTTAATAATTGTGTGTCACTTTATTGAGTCATTTAAAGAAAAAAAAAAAAAGAAAAAGACAAAAAAAATTTTTTTTATTGACTTATTTATGAAAAAATTTAAAAAATATCGAAATTATCATTTTCATAAAAACGAAATTGAAGACTATAATGCGAATATCTTTGGTTTTTCTGGGAAGTTATTCAGATGAGAGTTGTTTTAGTTCAAGAACACCTTAAAGATGAAAAATCAATAGGTTTAGAATTTTTCCCCCCCTCCATTTTTAAAATAACTTCGAAAATAACGTATAACCGACAAAGTGGTACCTTTTCTAAAAATGCGATTTTTAATTAACAAACCGAATTTTTTATAAAGTGAATATAGTTGTGTGTTACTTTATTGAGTTATTTGAAGAAGAAAAAAGAGAAAGTAGACCAAAAAAAATTTTTTAATTGACTTTATTATGAATAATCTTAAAAAATATCGAAATTTTCATTTAAAAAAAACGAAATTAAAGACTATAATGCGAATATCTTTGGTTTTTCTGGGAAGTTATTTAGATGAGAGTTGTTTTAGTTCAAGAAGACCCTAATGATGAAAAATCAATAGGTTTAGAATTCCCCCCCCCCTCCATTTTCAAAATAACGAATTTTTTACAAAATGGACCCTTTTTTGAATATGCGATTTTTTATTAATAAACCGAATTTTTTTCCAAGTTGATAGTTATGTGTTACTTTATTGAGTTATTTGTAGAAAAAAAAGAAAAAGTAGACAAAAAAAATTTTTAATTAACTTTATTATGAATAATCTTAAGAAATATCGGAAATTTAATTTCCAGAAAAATGAAATTCAAGATTGTTTTTGAAATTTTTGTTTATTTGATTTTTTCGTTTTTGTTGGAAAATTATTTTACAATTAAAAGCCTAGATATTATTATTATTATTATTTTAACAAATAAAACAGCTTTTTTTAATAATTTTTATTTAAAAAAAAATTTGTAGGTTATTTTTTTTATTAATCATTCAATTATTAAACAAACGGATGTAAAATTCTTCTGAAAATAGTTTCATTTCTGTTAGTAATTCATTTATTCTAAAAAGCTTTCTTATCCATATAAATACAATAGATAAGATGTTTCCGTATAATGGATTTTCTCTTATAATAACTATATGGATAAGCAACTCTTGACGGGAATACTTATCGTTATTTTTCGAGAAATTTGTCTATTTAATTGATTATACTTACAGGTTTTTTTTTTATTCTTATTACTTCTCGAATATATATGGTTTCTTTATCTTTTTTCATTTTTCTTAAACTTTATCAGACTTTAGACTAGGCGATTAAGTTTTCGACAACCAACTGTCAATTAAAATCATAGAGCAAAAGGGAAATAGACTATAGCAAGGCTGGGACACGTCAAGTGACATGTCAGGGAGCGAAAGTCAATTTTCAATATTAACATAATCTTGGGTCGTTAATTCACAATAATGCAAGAACATCCGAAATGTGAAATGTCTTTAACTGTGAAACTTTTCTTTTTTTCTCTATCCTTTCCCACATCGACGTAAATCAAGGTTGAGAAAGTAGAAAACATGAGGTAATTTATTATATTTATTTTACGTTTGGAAGTTTTGTACACAATGACGAAGGAATACAAAATACATATTTTAATTATATTATCTATTTAATAAAATAAGTGATAAAAAATAATAAATATATATATCCAAATCGAAAACTGTAAAGTTATAGGTTAGGGTTAAGCTCGTTTCACATTCAAAGTATTAGCAAGGTTGGGTTATCAGCAACGAAACACGTCAAGGATTTTTAACAATATCAAGGTTGAATTGGCAGCTATTTCTTTACACTTTGTGCTAGAAAAAATTCTATGATTTTTTACTTTTTACATGAAATTGTTTTTTAGACCCTTCTAATTACTATATTAATCAACTTATTATTTAAAAAGCAAACAAATATGTGAAATAGAAAACAGTTTCCAGAAGGTAGGTAATATTAAAGATTTTACTAGATGAATTTTTTAGAAAGTAGTGGAGATTGTTGAAAGAGAGAGAAAGAGAGAGAATGTAAATCGGTCAACTTGGAGACGCATTTGTTTAAACTCTTGCGCTAGAAGTCAGTTCAAAGTGGTTCGAAGGATGCTGGAGAGTCCGCATGGTGGCGGCACGGCCAGTGCGGTCAGGTGGTTCGCAAGGACGCGGCAGGCCATTCACCCGTTCACCCGCTCTCTCGATTCGCTTCATCTTACGCTACCCCCTCCTTCAGTTTTCCTCCTCATTCCACTATAGTTCGCTCCAATGTCCACCATATCAATCCATCTCTTCCCCCCCCCTCTCTCTCCCTCTCTCTTTCTCTCATTCTCCAGTGTTCAAAGATTCTATAGATATTTCCCTCTCTTTCTTTTAAGTCTCCAGTGTCAATATCCATCTCAGTCTTTGCTTTATGTAAATAAGAGAGAGAGAGAGAGACTTGTGCTAGATAAAAAAGTTTGCTTTATATTAATTATCATTTAATAAATATTCCACTGTAATATTGACAAATTGAGTGTGAAACAGTAAAAAAAATTATCTACAATGAAAAATAAAGTTTTGGTTATCTATGTTTACACTTTTTTTGCTCTCCTCTAACCATCAGGTAATATATTCTGTTCACAGAATGCAGTGATTGACAGTTGCCTATACCCTTGCTAGGAAATAAAAAAAATTAAAAACTGCTTTTTGTAATGATGAACGACCCAACCTTTCTATAGTATAGCAGTGATTGACACCTGATAACCCACCCTTGCGCTATACAGTTAAAAATTGAAAGCTACTTTTGTCGTAATTGATAGTTATCGCCCCAACCTTGTTATAGGAAAAATATAACTACCCATCCTTGGTGTTACTGAAAACCAACGAATCAATAACTTCTCTTCTGGACAATTGAAAATCAATCAAATGTCCACAATGAAAAAGTTAAAAACAACAATTATATAATAAAAAAAGCAATTTTACTTTTCATATTAAATGATTTTTATGCAAAAAAGCATTTGATATTTTTATTTAAATGATAAAAACAGAACAGCAAATCACTTATAATGATTTAAAATGAGAAAACGAGAAGTACCAACTAAAACTTATTGCTACCGTGAATTGCTTGTGGATATATTTTCAGGAAACATTAAGTCACATATGAAGGCACGCAATTGAGAAACGACATAGAGAGCTTCTGTGATTGTATGTGTGTGAAAGTGAGTGCCAAATACATGGGGAAGAAACCCGGTTATTAGTTCCCTGCGGGAGAGTCTGCAACTTGCTCCCATCCACTCTCTTGTCGTCGTTCGACTCCTATTATTTCACTCATGACGTCACAGAGGGAGCTAGAGAGAGAGAGAGAGAAAGGTGGAATAAACAGAAAAACCCTTGCATTCGACGTCCTGCCAATCGACGTCAATGAATCGCTTCTT